CCGGGGCCGGGGCCGGGGCCATGGTAGAGGTTGAGGACGTTCAAGTGCTGCAGCTAGAGCACCCGCACGGGCTGCTATAGAGGAGCCACCAGTAGCTCCAGTCAGAGCGCAAGCACCTGAGATGCCTGTTAATGCACTAGCTCTTCAGGAGACCCTTGCACAGTTCCTGAGCATGTTCGGTACTCTAGCTCAGGCAGGGTTGATTGCACTTGATCCTGCCACATCTCAGGCCGGGGGAGGAGCACAGACTCTCGCCGCCCGTATCCTAGAGCAGCGGGTTCAGGTCGATCAGGTTCCATAGGTCATACCAGTGCAGTCGTTGGTAGCCTAGTTCGGCCTGAGGGTAGGGCAACAGCTTCTGAGGAGGAGCAGCTCAGGCTCGAGAGGTACAAGAACTACCACCCTCCTACTTTCAATGGCTTGGCATCAGAGGATGCCTAGGGTTTTCTTGAGGAGTGCCACCATATCCTCGATACTATGGGTTTAGCGGAGTCGAGTGGGGTTTCTTTCACTGCGTTCCAGCTTAGAGGAGCGGCCTATCAGTGGCAGCGTGCTTATGAGTTGGGTAGTCCTACTGAGGCAGCTTTACTTACTTAGACTCAGTTCTCGAATATGTTCTTGAGGGAGTATGTTCCCCAGAGTCTTAGAGATGCATGACGTGCAGAGTTTAAGCAGTTGCGCCAAGGTGCTATGAATGTTTCAGAGTATGCGGTTCGCTTTAGTGATTTGGCTAAGCATGCACCAGCCTTGGTTGCTATAGTTCGATAGAGGGTCCGTTGGTTTATCGATCTGTGTTTCAAAGCCACTAATAGCTTCTTTAAGCCTTTCTCGATTTGCGTTCACAGTCCGGATGTTTTTTCGGAAGGCTTTTATGTTAAAAATTGATAAAATATGAAATTTTGCCTTAAAATCCATTTGAGTTGACTTCGGTCAACGTTTTGAGCAAAGGAACCCGGGTCCGTGATTTGATGGTCAAGGTGGGTCTGTATCTTGATTTGGGACTTGGGCGTATGCCCGAAAACGGATTCGAAGGTCCTTAGCTCGAGTTATCGCGTTTTGTCAAAAATTTCAAGTTTAAAGGCTTAATGAATTTCAAGGTTTGACCAGTGTTAGACTTTATTGATACCAGGTTCGTATTTTGGTTCTGGAACTCTGCATAGGTCCATTACTATATTTATGACTTGTGTGTCAAATTTGGTGAAAAGTGAAGTTAGTTTGATGTGATTCGGACGACGGGTTGTTAAGAATTGAAGTTCTAAAATTTTCTTGAAAATTTCATTTGATTTGGTGTCCGATTCATAGTTCTAGGTGTTATTTCGGCGATTTGATCGCGTGAGCAAGTTTTTTTGGACTTGTGTTCTTGTTTGGTTTGGAGCCCCGAGGGCTTGGGTGAGTTTCAGATAAGCTACGAAGTGGAGGACTTAGAGTCAGAGCTGAAGCCTTTGTGCTTCTGGTGTTTGCTGCAGACTTCGCAATTGTGAGGTCTGGCTCGCAAATGCGTGCCTCACATTTGCGAATAAGACTTTGCATTTGCGAGTAGGGGGCTGGGGTTAGACTTTCGCATTTGCGAGATTTGGGGTCGCAATTGCGATCTCTTCAGGTTCGCATTTGCAAACATTTTGTTCGCATTTGCAAAGGCAGCGGGAATGTGGAGACGTCGCATTTGCGAAGTTTTATTTGCATTTATGGGGTTCGGAATTGCGAACCCTGGTCACAATACGACACCTGCGCTTGATCAAAATCTGAGTTAGACGGGATTTTCTCTCATTCTTTCAAATTTTCAAACCTAGAAACCCTAAAGGCGATTTTTCCAAGAACTCTTCTTCCCCAATTCATTGCTAAGTGATTCTAACCTACTTTCTTTCAATTTTCATTATATTTCATAAGATTTAAACCTAAAATCTAGGATTTTTATGGTAGAAATTGAGGGTTTGGGTAGAATTAGGGATTTTTGTAAAATTTGTATTTAGACCTCAAATTGAAATCAGATTTTGAAACAAATTACATAACTGGGCTCGGGGGTGAATGGGTAATCGATTTTTGGTCCGAATTTCAGTTTGGACTAAGCGGACCGGGGAGTTGACTTTTGTTGACTTTTTCAATAATGACCTAAATTGAACCATTTTCATTCGTGGGTAAAGTCTTATTTTGAATCGTTTGGTTGATAATTTGCTAGATTTGGTTGGTTCGGAGGCTTGTTTGAAAGGAAAAGACGTGGTTGAGCTTTGAGTTGATCTTTGGAGCGAGGTAAGTATCATGGTTAACCTTGACTTGAGGGATTAGGACTTGTTTGCCTATTTGCAACTTGTTTAAATGTTGGGTACAACGTATATGTGAGGTGACGGGTACTTATGCATTTTTGTTGGGTTAAAGCATGCGGGTGGAACTTGTTTCTTGTAATTTATCACTTTCTTTGATCATGATATCCATGCTTAGACTAGTTAATTACTAAATTGATCGTTCTTTCCGCATTTATGGGCTATCTGTGGTAATTGAGTATTGTTTCTGAAGTTGAGGCTGGTATTGTGGAACCCTTGCTGACGTAAGGTTTGTCCTTGTTATTCTATCTCCATACATTTATATATTTATTGTTATATGGTAAGGGAGAATGTTAATGCACGAAGGGTGATGTCGTGCCGTATTGGAGAGTTAATGCACGAAGGGTAATGCCGTTCCATATTTGAGATTTAATGCACGAAGGGTGATGCCGTGCTGTATCTATTGTTTCATGATGAAATTGAGAGTAAAAGCACGAAGGGTGATGCCGTGCCGTGTTTATCATTGTATGGTGATGCTGAGAGTGAAAGCACGAAGGGTGATGCCGTGCCATTATTACTGTTTCATGGTGAGGTTGAGAGTGAAAGCACGAAGGGTGATGCCATAGACTTTTTACTCATTATGTATATCTGCTTCATTTGCTGAAGGTTTACTGACTATTCTTATTATCATTCCCTGTTGTAGTTACCGTGTTTTGTACTCCTTCGCACGCCCCTCCCAATAATATTGTTAATTGCTTATTTATTGTTATGTTGTACGTATATTTCCGCCTGTACAAGTTTATTTACGTGGGTGTCCTGTCATAACCTCGTCACTACCTCGTCGAGGTTAGGCTCGACACTTACATAGTACATTGGGTCGGTTGTATTCATACAACACTCTGCACTTCTTTTGCATACTTTAGTACTGGTCCCAACTATCCGTGAGACGTATCAGCTCAGGTTGGCATTTGGAGACTCCAGATAGATCTGCTGGCGTCCGCAGACCTTGAAGTCCCCGTCCTCACTCCCTATTTACTGTTCTTTTTATTCGAGACAATTGTAATTATTTCAAACCCTGTTTCTAGAAACTCTAGAAGCTCGTGAACTTGTGACTCCAGATCTGGGTTGTACTAAGATATTGTTGGTTTGTATGCCATTTCGTACTCCGTTTTAGTTTCATTTGGGCTTAATTGGTTTTACTTATTTGAATTAATTAAAATTGGCTTAAAGATCCTCTAATGTCGGCTTGCCTAGAAAGTAAAATGTTAGGCGCCATCACGGTCCCGAAGGTGGGAATTTCGGATCGTGATAGGAGATTAAGAAAATAGAGATCAAGCTTAATTTCTCTGGCTTGTTATATTCTATCTTATTCTTGTTTGGTGCTTATTATTCCGTTGATCATGGTTATTTGATCTTGACATTACTAATAGAAACTAGGGATCCACCAAACTGTATAGAGAATCCGGTTCTCTATCAGTTTCCACAGTAAACATCAGTAAATAAAGAAAACTCCTGGCTCACCGGAATAAAAATCACGACCTACCCTAGTAGGATTTCAACTTCAATAATTGAGCAAACTTTATATTACAACCTATTGCAATCTAGGAATTAAACTCTTAATCTCTCACCTCTTACAATACCTTTTTTGTAAGCTCTTTGTAATAACTCTATTACAAAGCTTCACACTTGACTAACTCTAGTCAAACAACCATAAGCAATAATAGTTCAAATGATGTCCTACTAAATGCTTCTAAAAAGTTGTGTAGGAATTACAAGTAAATAACATGAGACAAAACATAACAATACTAAAGGACACTAGACATATTCAATGTTGGGATCTGGTCCTTTATTTTGTAGCTGCATTGTTCTTCAATGCACCTGAGGGAAACTAGAGGCGGCTGCACACATGAGGGAATGCATGTTTTTCAAATGCCAGTGTTAGGTCAAATCCTTGTAAAATGATATATTTATGTGAGAGATTATGAGAGTAGTTACAAGGGCATTTCCGGTCTCCAGCAAAATGCAGTTGTACTATTGTACTTACAACAGTTGTAAGTACAATGCAGCAAATTTAACAACTGTAGTGTTGACTTGCCCGACGACCTGTGGACCTGATCCTATTTGTTCCCTGTGTAGTTCCCTTATCTGTTTTCCTTGAGAATAAAGCCAAACAACATGGTATGTTTTTATTTTGTTTTACAAACAAAAACTGTATTTTATCTAAATTTAAATTTTTTGATTTGAGTGTGGTTATATTGCGTGTGGGATCAATTGCATGCACGAGACTTGGGTAAGAAATCACCTGTAAGCTTGAGTATTTAGTGGCCATGTCACGTGTAAGCACGTTTAATTAATTAAATATGCCAGCTCTTTTAAAGATAGATTATCAAGTATGCTACACGTACTTTTTTGTCAATTATTACCGACAAGTTATTTTTTTTGTCAATTATTACCGACATCGTCCACAAACGACCTATTATATTCTGATCAAATATTTGAAATAATATATTTTTGTTGCGTTTACATTGTCCCAAAGATTAACGATTATACATCTGTCGACTTAAATTAAGTCATGAATTCGCCTTTAGTTTTTGACAAAAATTCTTTCCTCAACATAATACTCCGTTCTGCAAAACATAGAGTTGTGACAGTCATTAACTCAAATGCAATTATATATATTATTTCTAGTCCCTAAAGAGACTAACAATATTTGAACTACAGTCATAGACCAGTATCAAGATATGCGTCAAAGGGTATTCCCATATTCCAGGAAAGATAAGGAAGTCAAGTATTACAAAAGTAATAGGCCATGGTTTTAAAACTTTTCTCAGAGTACCAACCTTCTTTTTATAATCAAATTTAAGATCCATTTCTTCATCTGAGTTACTTGATTGAGTAACTCAATGTGTTACAATAAAAAGAAATAAATCTTCTCGATGGCTGAAAGAATACTTTTCTCCAAAACGGCTACTCAAATTCTTAAAATTTCCAAAATTTGGCTTCAATCATCTCACATTTGCAATACACTAGTCCGACTAATCAGTGGCGGATCCAGGATTTTAAAATCGTGGGTGCTCACTGATAAAAATTCTGAAAGAAGAAGAAAAAAGAGTTTAGTTATGGGTGCTCACTCAATATTTATCTAAATATTTTTATAATTGCCTATACAAATTTACTAAATCTTGTCAAAGTTAATGGGTACTTGAGCACCCAAAATCAGCATGTAGATCCACCACTGCGACTAATTCAGGCTCATGTCATAGAAAACTCACTATGGAAGCTTTGATATTCCTTAATCGCTACCGTAGAATACTTTATTTTCAAGGTTCAAACTCTAGACCTCTAGTCAATAGTTCAAGAAAGAAAAAGTAAAAGTCAAAGCAAAAAATGTTTACAAAATCCCAGACTAGAACAGCTGAAAGAAAATAGAAAGAAATTGCAAATTATGACTTAATGTCCAAAGCCTTTTGAATCTTGTTAGTTAATATTAACAGTCACCAGTCTATGTTGCCTCTCTTGAAAATAAATGAAGGCTGTCACAAAAACAGGGTGAATAAAAAAAGACATTTACATATTTTGCTGATCATGTCCTACGGAAAAATAATAAAAAGTAAAAAAGATGCTAGTTATACAACGTCTTTCTATAGATGTTAAATCCTTCTAATAATGAAACTAGAAAATTCGTTGAATTAATTACTTGTCTTCCTTCTCAAAACAAGATGAGAGCTTGTCTCTTAACATGTCGAGCTCAACTACCATTGTTCCTTCAACCTGCTTAACAATACACAAAAGGGAAAAAACAGCAATTAATTAGGAATTAGGATAATAGAACAAACAAAACTCTATTTGAAAAGATGCTACTCTCTCCATTTCTATTTATGTGACGTATTTTATGCATCACTTTAAATTCCTTATTTAAATAAAAAAAAAAAAAATAGTATCTCATTCTATACCTGAAAATGCAAGGTATGGAAGACTCTATCTTCAAAGGTTTCAATACAAGATGAATTTAGTAGAAAAAGTCCTTCATCCTCTAATTCTGATACAGCCTCAGCAAATGAACGTTTATTGATCTTCAACGTAGATATGTGAATAACTACCTCTTTATCACCAATTTCACTTGCTGAAATTACTAATGAAGAGCTCTCATTTCCTCTTCTTTTTTGTTTGTTAAAATCAGCTGAATTTTCTTTATTTGATATGGTTCTTGCTGTAAGCTCTTCTTTCTTCTCAATTAGTCTTTCCACTTCATTTTGTAACTCTGGTATGTATTTTAGCACTCTTGATATTGTCGATGGAATGCTTAGTTTTTTCTGTGAACATAAAAAATGATGAAGTCTTGTTAGCGCAAAATTTAAGTATAAATCTTAAGCTCAGAGATTGAACTGAAAAATCGGATAATTATTTTATTTTAAATAATCCATAATACCTTATGGTCAGAAGCTGTAAGCAAAGAACGAAGAGAGGAATATAAGCTATTGATTTTTTTCCTGCGATCGCGCTCACTTGCATTATGATTAAGCTTCTTCACCATCTGATCAGGTTGATGAACATGTTCACCATTATTAATCTGATCAAATTTATTTGAATCACAGTGTTTTGTTTGAGATGATGATGATGATGATGATGAATGAAGTGCAGCAGCTGAATTATCTGAAGTTTCTGCGGCAGTGTTTATAAAATGATGGCTTATGGGATCCTCCAAAAGCCAGCAAAAATGGTCAGAAAACAAAGGAGGAGAAGAAATGGCTAACATTTTGCTAATACTCTGAAAACTTAATTAATTTCTGCTTTACCAATTTTTGTAAGAAAATATTGCAGTCATTACATTTGTGATGAGAATTTATACCAATAGCTTTGATCAGGTCATACCTCAGCAGAAGACTTAAATAATAATTATCGATTGGTAGTTATATTAACTATATTTGGTCTTTTCTTCTTAAAATAACAAGCAATAGACTTGTGTATTTCCAAGGACCATGTTTATCTACGTAAGAAATGTATATACTTGTAGGGTGTAATTGCGTGTGGGATCCATGGCATACACAAGCCTTGGGTAAGATTAGTCGAGTATTTAGTGTCCAGGGCACGTGTAAGCACGTTTAATCAAATTAAACACAGCGACGAAGTTGAGTTACGAGTTCGGTCGAATCCAGTAATTTTGTTAAAATTATGTATTTGTCTTAAAGATCAATTCAATGCGTACAAAATTATTTATTTTGGACCTAATTAACTGATCAAACTCAATGTATATCTACTTAAATTTTTTAAATATATACTCTCTTTGTTTCCATTTATGTGAACCTATTTGATTGGATACGTAGCTTAAGAAAAAAAAGGCTTTTGAACTTGTGGTGTAAAATGAGACACATATATTTTGTGTGGCTATAGATTATTGCATAAAGGTATATTGTTTCCAAATATGAAAAGGGCTGTCATTCTTTTTTGCACGAATTAAAAAAGAAATAGGTTCACATAAATTAAAATGGATGGAGTATATTTTTACTGTGTTTGTAATGGTTGTCACAAAATTTAGTGATAGTAATATTCTACATCTGTCGACTTAAATTAAGTCATGGATCCGTCTTTAAATTTAGACAAAAGTACTTTTCTCAACTTAATTACGACTATTGTTTAGTTTCTTCTTCTTCTTTTTTTCCTGCAAAATATAGAGTTGTGACAATCATTAATTGCCATTATATTTTATTTCTAGTCCCTAAAGAGACAAAAATATTTGGACTACAGTCATAGACCAGTATCAAGTTATGCGTCAAAGGGTCTTCCCAAATTCCATTACCAATAAGGAATCCAAGTATCACAAAAGTACAAGGCTATATCTTAAGACTTTTCTCAGATTGACAATCTTCGTTTCATTTTAATTCAATTTAACTGCCATTTACTTCATTTGAGTTACTTGATAGAGCTCAATATGCTACAGTGAAAAGAAATAAATCTTCTCGATGAGTGAAAGAATTCTTTTTCTCCAAAATGCATGGCTAAGCAGTGCTTTGATTGGCCTAGTCACTAAGCAAGATGTTTTAGCTACTCAGATTTTTAAGATTTCTACGTGTCTCCCATCTCTCACTCACTAGCTTGACTAATTCGGGTCCACCCCATAAAAAGCACACTATATGGAAATATATGATAAGTTATGTGCCTTTTGTTTTGATGATTTGACAAACTTCATGAGAGAACCAGGGAGGGAACCTGATGCAATTGGTTCCTTACTGTGCAGAGCAACTAATCAAATGTCTATTTCAACTCACAATGAAATCAGTTAAGGAAACAACGGAGGAAACAGATAGAGACCAATTCCTTCGGTCACAATACAAGTCAACTGTACAATTTTTGAAGCTGTTGCACCGTACTGGCAACAGTACAGCAGCACTGCTGCATCATCTTTGATGACCTCACTCATATATTATCAACATGAGGCAAGGAATTTCAACACACACTCGCAAATCCTAAATATTGATTTCTCTCAAGTGTGCAGCCGCCTTCATTTTCTCTGAGGCATTGAAGAATAAAACAACAACAGAACAAAGGACCAGATCCCAGCATTGATTATATCGTGTATCCTTTAGTATTATTGTGTCTTTGTCTTGTGTTATTAAATTGTAATTCCTACATAGCTTTTCAGAAGCATTCATAGGACAACTTTTCAATCATTATCTTTGTGGTTGTTTTGACTATAGTTAGTCAAGTGGTTAGCTTTATAATAGAGTTATTACAAAGAGGCTTACAATATAATTATTATGAGTAGGTGAGGGATTGATAGTTTAAGTCCTAGATTACAATAGGGTGTAATATAAAGTTTGCTCAGTTAGTGAAGTTGATATCCTACCAATATAGGTCGTAGTTTTTAATCCCGTGAGCTGGGAGTTTTCCACGTAAATATTGTTGTGTTATTTACTTACTGTTGTGTTTTGTGGGAACTGATAGATACCAAGTTCTCTATATAGTTTGGTGGACCTTTAGTTTACATCAATTGTTATCCGAGTAGATTCGTTCTATAAGGTTAACACCTAGAAAGGATCAACATGGTTGCTCCACCAAATTTCGAAGATGGACAATCAACCTACAGACCACTAAGATACAATGGTCAATAGTATGGCAGGTGGAAGACAAGAATGCATGATTTTATCATGGCCGAAGATTCAGAGTTCTGGGATGTTATCTGTGATGGAGTCTTCATCCCCATGAAAACCATTAGCAAAGGAACAATTACAGTTCCAAAGACAAGGAAGGAATATAATGATGCTGATCGGAAGGCCATGGAGAAAAACTTCAGGGTAAAGAAGATCGTTGTTTATGAAACTGGACCAGACGAGTACAACCGCATCTCAGCCTGTCAATCTGTCAAGGAGATGTGGGAGACTCTCCAAACTGCACTTTTGGGAACCACTCAAGTCAAGCAGTCAAAAATAGACATACTTACTACTGAGTATGAACTCTTCAAGATGAAGGAGGATGAGTCTATTCGGTACATGCATACTGGCTTTACCTCTATCATCAATGAGCTTCACTCCCTTGAAGAAGTTATTCCAAGAAACAAACCGGTCAGAAAAAATACTCAGTGCATTACCAGGTTTTTGGGAGAGAAAAGTTAATGCTATCATGGAAGCCAAGGATCTACAAAAGTTGACCATTGATGAACTTATTGGAAATCTGAAAACCTATGAGATGAAAAAGAAGAAGGATCTTGAAAGAAGGGAACCCAAAAAGGAGAAGAACCTGGTTCTTAAGGCAGACAACAGTGACTCAAGTGGTGATGAAACAAACATGGCTATCTTATTCGGAGATTCCAGAAAATGGTTCGTAGAAATGGAGGAATCCCCAAGAAAGTCAGCTCTAGCAGAAACACAAAAGGTTATGATTGTTGTCACAAGTGTGGAAAGACAGAACATTTTATCAAGGAGTATCCTCTCCAGTAGCAGGACCATTACAAACACAACGCGGACAAGGTGGTTAAGAGGAACCTGGTCCCCGATAGGAAATTCAAGAGAAGAGATGCTGCTGATAGTGTTGTGAAGCAAGCTCTGGCCGCCTGGGAAGATTCCTTTAGTGAATCTGAGGACAATGATGAACAAGGAGACACCTCCATGATGGTTGGTGAAATCGAATCTGCAAAGTATGACTCTATATTTGCCCTTATGGCAAAATCTGATAAGGATGAAAATAATGATGACGATGAGGTAACTTTTCTTGACGTTCGAAAAAAATTTGATGTCTTATTCCCAAAACAAGCTGGTATCTTTAGCTAATATTTTAATTGATGCTTATCACATCCTCATTAATGATAAAAATGCTTTAACTGAGGAAATCGGTGAGATAGAACAAGAGAGAGATGATTTGGTGGTTGTTGTTGTAGATCTGAAGGAAACAGTGGAGGAAACAGAGAAAGAAAATATCCTCTTAAAAATTCAATTGAAAAATTCATGAACTCATCTAAAGGAAAGGAAGTGGCTAGTGAGGCACACCTTAAGATTGAAATTGAACTCAAAACTGTAAAATTGAGTCTTGTTGCTGAACTTGAAAAAATAGACAAATTCCGAAAGATTTAAGCAGGGTTAAAATAATCTAGATAAATCTCTGAAGTGGACTTGGTCCTCTGATACAGTCACTTCCATGTATAAAAGTAATGGGGGAACATGCAATGAATCAGGTTCTACAAGGAACAAGCCCCCTATAAACCAAATACCAAGTATGTTATTGCGCCTGATAATTGGCTTTGCACATATTATCGTAAAACTAGTCATTACAAAGATTCCTGTAAAGCAAAGTTTCAGCCCCAACAGAAAAATAAAGTTTTTGTTGAAAAAGTATCTACTACTAAGCAACCTGATTCTCTGAAAAACAAATCTCTGATGCCTGCATGGACAAAAAGAAGTCTGATTCATCCCTCATTACAAGGGACCCAAACTTGTTTGGATTTCTAAGTCTAATCTCTGGTTCTCTTGTATAGGCAGTAGTGAAGAGAAGCAGTCAAAAATGGTACATTGATAGAGGCTACTCTAAACACATGACTGAAAGAATGGATGATTTCCTTTCACTCAAGATCCTGCAAGGTGGGAGTACGTCCTTTGAAAATGGCAAAAAATGATACATTCTAGGAATTAAAAAGATTGGAAAAACATTCTCTCACTCAATTGAAAATGTGTGTTATGTGAATGGCTTTAAATATAGCCTGTTGAGTGTCTCTCAAATTTGTGACAAGGGAAACAAAGTGGAGTATGTGTTAAAATCATGTACTGTCACCAATCTTATAAATGGTGAAGTGGTTCTGATTACAAAAAGGTTAAAAAATATTTATGTTTCTGACTTTGACTCTCTAAATGGTGGTGATATTATATGCCTAAGAGCCCTTGATGATGATGCTGAGCTATGGTACAGAAGATTGGGGCATGCAAGTTTCTCTCTGTTAAACAAGCTGATCAAAAAGGACTTAGTCCGTGGACTGCCAAAGTCAAAGTTCAAAGATCACAAAGTGTGTGATGCATGTGTGAAAAGGAAGCAAGTCATGTCCTCATTCAAACCAAAGAAGGAAGTGAGCACCTCAAAGGCCACTGGATCTTCTTCATATGGATTTTTGTGGACCTATGAGGATGCCTAGCAGAGGAGGAAAGAAGTACATCTTCGTTATTGTTGATGACTACTCCAGATTCACATGGGACCTATTTCTCAGGACCAAGGATGAAATCTTTCTAGTTTTGCTTCATTTGTGAAGAATATTCAAGTGAAGACGGGCTATGATATTGTGAGTATTAGATCCGGTCATGGCACCGAGTTTGAAAATGCCAAATTCGATGAATTCTGTGCTGAAAATGCTATAAGTCACAATTTTTCTGCCCCCAGAACACCTCAAAAAAATGATATTGTGGA